TTCAAAATCACCAAAAAGCACCACAAATGCCTTAGCTCTTTACACAAACGGTTAGGGTTTGCTATGGGGGGGGGGGTTCTGGAAGCAATAGGGACGAAGGGTGGCTGGATGAGATGCTTAAATAGGGTGCAAACCCTTAGATTAGGGTTTGTCCAGTCAGAGTCTACTCGTCGAGTCTGGAAGCCGACTCGACGAGTCCGTCATTTAAATCCCGTATCGAATCCACTTCTACTCGACGGGTTGGGCCTTCAACTCGCCGAGTCCCAGGCCAAAAATGCAAAATACTTAAATAAAATACATACCAGGAACCAGATGCTACAAATATTATCAAGGTCTTTATGTATAGTGGTGGAGAAACCCAATGCAATTCTTCATTCAATATCACTTTTGTAGGTTTGAACTAAAATTGCATCTTTATTTTCAGAATATTTTTTCTTAATTCCTGATGAAAATATGTGAGTGTTTAATTCATTATCACATTTAATATATAAAGAATTTGACATTCTACTTACCATTTCCTCTATTCATGTTTTTACTGAAGTCAGGGCCAAAAATTGTGAGGTCTGAAGTGCAAGACATGGAAAACATCTTTCGATGATTCACAACCTCGATCTTAACTTTGTGACCTTTCTTTTTTCTTTTTGAACGCAAGCCTTTGCATGAATTGTGATTTATAAGCATAATTAAATATGTTTAGCATAGTTTCATCTATTTATATATAGCTTATATCACAAACGATTATTAAATGATTATGAAACTAGAAGCTCTTAGGACACATTCAAGGGAGCTCACTGTTCCACACTAATTCTTAAGGATTGATATAACACATGCCTAACTGTTAATCACAAATCAATTATGCAAAATGATTATGATAGTATCCTTGCATTGAATTCTATTGTATCGCAATATTGTACATTGGAATATCCATCCGATTATAGTTGGGATTATGTTGGGTTTATGACATTTTTATTTGATGGAACTATGAATTATAATAGGTGACTCTATTAACAAGGATTAAGAATCATGTCGATATTCTTTCTAGAAAAAGTTAACCTCAATATGTGGTAAACACCTGCCACTTTACATAAAAATTAAACATTTAACACAACTTACGATATTTTTTTCAACCATTTATCTTCTTGAGGCCTCTGTTAAGAGATATGATAGTGATGGCAATTGGTAATATGTAAAATGACCATTGGAATGACAATTAAAAAAGATTATAAAAACATGATGACGTTGGGAATCATTTTATAATAATAACAACAAATAAAGAAGTATTTTTAAAAATAATATTTCTTAACAAAATTGAATAAGCCTGTCATAATCAATTATAAAGTATCAGACTCTCATAACCAAATTCAAAGGTTTTCACCTTATTGTATTTTTAGTTAATAACTTCTCAAACGATAAAACTCATAAACTTAGTAATGATTATTAAAAGAGAACCGGCTTAAAAGAAAAGTTTTCGATTCTGCAACGTCAACCAATGCCATCTTGACCAATAGCAAAAGGGCATTTTGGTCCATATAGTATTATTTTAGTAAGCACTGTTATATTTTTTACGGAAAGTTATGTATAAAAGTTGCAATTCATTTAATTTTATTTAGAAAAATAAATGCTATAAAATCCATTTATTAAAAAGTTTATATGGTTGCATTGTGTGTGTTTGACATGAAATACTAAAAAGGGTTGATGTCTTTATCACATGAGGCAAATTAAAATGAAAACAATAATTTGAAAAATATATCAAATATATTTAACATTCAAAATTTGAAATTTTAAATGCTAGAAAACAGCAGCATAATTTCATTTGATTGTCTAATATAGCATCATAATTTAGTTTCTTCTTGTGATTTTAAGAAGCATAATTTTATTATAATTTCGTTTATTGACAGGAAACGCCACTATTGTAACCCATTGAAGGCTCCTGTTGACGATCTTGAGGTATTTGGAATATAGTTTCTATATCACACATCTCTATAAATTGGCTTGAATGATATGTTTCATGACTAACAAGCGTGTTTCATGTTATTAGTATGACACTAGGTACTTCCTCCTACCAAGCTCCAGTTCTTGAAAAAACCCAATCAGAAGACCAACCTGATAAAAAATGCAGTAAAATATTTTTAAACAAACATTTAGCCCTTTTGATTTACTCTATATTTCACCACCACCCTCCTTTTTCTTTTAACTTTCATTGTTTTTAATAAAAAACCATCATGCCCTTCAAAAATATATCCAGTTTCCATGTTTTGCACTTTTGAATTTCCATTTTACAGACCAACAGAGTGTCGTTACAATAGAAGTTCTTTTTAGCACTACTAACCACCAAAATACCATATTGCCCTTTTTTTTTCAGGACTATCCCATCTTTTAGAAGAGACTTTCTTTCCGGTTGCATCGGTTATTTGTTTTGTTTTATCAAATTTGTTGGTTCTTTCATTTTTTGTTTTCCTGTTATAGCAACATACTTTCAAAAGTATGGTTGGTGGGGAATCATACCTGATAGAGAAGCAGTTTTTTTTCCTGTAATGAAAACGTACTTTCATCCATTTATATATAGATAACATATTAATAAACTTAAAATTCAAACTTTTTTAAAGGCACGTACTTAAAAAGTTTATAATTTGAAAACTTTAGGTTCGGAAAGTATAGTATATGACCATTACTTTCCTATTTTAATATATAATTGTTTTTTTATATGTACTTATTTCTCTTATATTACAATATAGTTTAAACATCATATGATGTCATTTCCATGAATATTTTCATTTTTTAAAACTATATTCATAATTTTATTGCATTATAAAAAATCATAATTTTCTAACATATCCACAAATACAAATTCTTCATCGGATATTCAAACCATTATGATTTTGTTGTTTCAACCTACTATATTATTATCAAATTACAGACAAAACAACTATATTTATAAATTATAACTTATAATTTAATTAAAATTAATTTCCTTTTTCACCTGTGTTGTCCACGGGTTATAACCTAGTATAATATAAATTGTAAGCTAAAACAAACTTTAGAACATTTTGATATAACTACATTCAAGTTGATCACTATTAATACACTTGAAATATTAACCAGTAGTATTATACTTTGAAATGTTAACAAGTGAAAGTATGGTTTAAGCAACATATTTTGTTTGGCTCTGTAAATCCATATATGTTTGCAAATAAATTTTATTTCTTTGTATACCATGATTATATTAATTTAAAATAACCATGTTAACACATTATACTTTTTATAAAAGTAAATCCATACAAATCTAATTAATGATTATAATTTTTATACTTTATGTTATTATAAGTCGTTAACCTGTGGATTTCAAGGGTTATAACCGAGTAAACACAATGAAATAGCCAAACGGTGGGATGTGTTTACCAAATCAATTCATCATGACATTTAATCCTACATTAAATACACGATTTTAATCGTGCAATTAGGAGCACCCTTTCTTTACTGCGAATTTACCGCAATTAGAAAAGAACGTTATTACATGTACCCAAGTCAGAGAAAGAGGTAGAGCTATAGAGAGAGAGAGAGAGAGAGAGAGAGAGAGAGAGAGAGAGAGAGAAAGTGAGCTTTAGACCGAGAGAGACAGCGAGAGAAGAGAGATAGAGAGAGAAAGCGCCAAAAAGAACACGAACACGAGACGAAGGAGAAGAAGAACTGAAAATGGTCATGTAATTGTTGCTTTGTGCGATTGAATTTTAGATCTTTAAGGAAAAAACCAATTTACCCTTTGTTTTAATCTGCTGTTCGTGTATTTGATCCGGTTTCGGGTTCTTTTCACTCTTGCATTGTTCGAATCCAGCACAGATCTAGGGATCAGGTAAGGTTTTTGCGCTTATTTTGATGTTGTGTATAATCTTTCACTCGGTAACGATTTGTTCTTATGATTTTTAGCATATGTTTTGGTTGCCGATAGTCTGAGTCTTTGATCGCGAGCGAGTTCTATTTTATATACGATTTCAACATTTGTATGATTGTTTGCACGCTTGTTCTGTTTTTAATTTGTTTCAGGAAATTAAACCTTGTTTTAGGAAATTGTTTGATTGTACGATAAGCTTGAAATGATCAGAGTATGAAATCAATCTCATAGAATTTTTTGTATGTAGTATGTGATAGGATACGAAATGAAAATGCAAATCTGTTCTACTCTGTGTTACTTGATCTCAAAAAGTCCGATCTGCAGTTTTTAATATTCTTGTTCATAAGGATATAAGGTTAGGCTAGAAGATAAACATCCAGACTTTGATTTGTTCATGATTTTCTCATAAGAAGCTATTTTTCGTGAAGAAAGTGAAGCATCTGGTCTGGCCTTGTTAGATCTGTAACTGTAATAAAATACTACTAACATATTGTTGGTGCGATTGTATCCTTTATACTACTGCCGTACATTGTTTGATCAAATTAGCTGATTGTTTGGTATTCTCATCATGTTTTTTTGGTACAGATTAGGCAAAAAAAAAAAAGGACTGATTCCGATCAATCAGATCACTTCTTCTCCTGATGTAGTAGTTACCAACTACACGACATTCTCCTCTGCCTCCCGGTATCATCTAGTATTTCTCTTTCCTAGCCAAAGGATCTGTGGATAGTTACTAGATTCTGAGCAGATTTTGGGTTTGATTCTCATTGGGTTGTGAGAAATCAGAAAACCTTTGTTCATGTCTCGTAACCCAGTTGAAACCCAAATGGCTGTAGCAGTTTTCAACAGTCCCTTAGGAAGGGAACACCATGTGAACAACGGAATGGAATCAACTAAACCTTCAGGTAGGCGACGTGTCTTTGTTCAAACAGAAACGGGTTGCGTCTTGGGAATGGAATTAGATCGAAGCGACAACGCCCACACAGTGAAGCGAAGGTTACAAATTGCACTCAATGTTTCAGTTGAAGAAAGTTCCCTAACCTTCGGTGACATGATTCTAAAAAACGACCTCAGTGCAATTCGCAACGATTCCCCTCTTCTTCTAACAAGAAACCTAAACCTAATCCACCGAAGCTCTTCATCTCCTTGTCTTTCACCCACCAGTAAAGACATCCAACAACATAATGGAGATCGCAGTGGGCCCATTGAGATTTTAGGCTTTTCTACTCGAAACACAAAACAAGTCGTTAAAGAAATTGTAAAAGCAATGAACACCGGCGTTGACCCAATTCCAGTTCAAAGTGGACTCGGAGGTGCATACTATTTCAGAAACAGCAAAGGCGAAAGTGTAGCGATTGTGAAACCAACCGATGAGGAGCCATTTGCACCGAATAATCCGAAAGGGTTTGTGGGTCGGGCATTGGGTCAACCCGGGTTGAAACGGTCTGTTCGGGTTGGTGAAACCGGGTTTCGTGAGGTGGCGGCTTATCTTCTTGATTATGACAATTTCGCAAATGTTCCACCTACTGCGCTTGTGAAAATCACTCATTCCATTTTCAATGTTAACAATGACGTAACTGTAAATGGGAATAACGAAAACAAGATGAAGAAACAATATAGCAAGATTGCATCTTTTCAACACTTCATCCCTCATGACTTTGACGCGAGTGATTACGGAACATCGAGCTTCCCTGTGTCTGCGGTGCACCGGATTGGGATTTTGGACATACGGATTCTTAACACGGACCGGCATGCAGGGAATCTGCTCGTGAGAAAGGTTGACGGGAGATTTAGTCAAGTTGAACTCATACCCATTGACCATGGTCTTTGCTTGCCGGAAAATTTAGAAGATCCGTATTTTGAATGGATTCATTGGCCACAAGCTTCGATTCCTTTCACAGATGAAGAGCTTAATTACATTCAACAACTTAATCCATATCGTGATGCTGAGATGCTAAAATCTGAGCTTCCGATGATTAGGGAGGCTTGCTTACGTGTCTTGATTTTGTGTACCATTTTTCTCAAGGAGGCGGCGGCGTATGGGCTGACGTTGGCGGAGATTGGGGAGATGATGAGTCGGGAGTTTAGACGCGGTGAAGAGCAGCCCAGTGAGTTTGAGTTGTTGTGTCTTGAGGCACGGCGGCAGGTAGTGGCAGAGAGGGAAAAGGAGGTGGTGGCGGTGGCGGTGGCGGGTTTATCGTCTCCTAAAGTAGAGGAAGATGTATTCCAGCTTGACATCGATTTTGATGATTTAGGGTTTCCTTTTCACTTTGGGAGAAACGGAAACGGAAACGGAAACCCATTTTCTAAATTCCATGAAACGATTGAAGAAGAGGAAGAAGAATTTTCCGGCGAGGTGGTTCCGGCAAGTGTGAAGAAAAAGGCGGAAGGGAAAAAGTTGGCGGTGGTGAACACATCGTCCGGACACAGGAGTGCGTCTGAGCAGCTTCCAGCGAGTGCTACTTTTGTGAAGTTGGGGGAGATGAAGGAGGAGGAATGGGTGGTGTTTATAGAAAAGTTTCAGGAGGCAGTGTTTCCGGCGTTTGTTAACCGGAAGTCGGCGGCGAAAGGGCAGAGGCAGTTGCAGAGGCTGGGGACTTCTTGTCAGTTTTGAAAGTATATTATTATATAATATAATATAATATAATAGTATGAGCAGAGGTGAAGGTTGAATAATTTGAGAATTAAGGAGTGGATGGTAGGAATGTTATGTAAGTATTGTTGAAAGAGCGACAGTTAGGCTTTGATTTAGGATAATTTTAAGTGTTTTTTTTTTTTTTTTTTTTTTTTTTTTTTTTTTTTGCTTTCACTCTTGTGGACATGTTTCATAAATAATTTGTAGTATGAAAATGCAAAAGAGTTTGAAAAGAAAGAACTATTGTAAATATATGTGCAATCTATATATACGGTTTTGGTTGAGGTCTATTAGAGACAATCATGTTAACTCGATATAATTTTAATTTTCCATCTCATATTCTCATCTATCTAGTAATCAAATCAAGATAAAATGAGTAGTCTAGGGATAATACACAACATTTGTGTTTACCTTTCGAAAAAATGAAAATAAAATCTAAAACAAATGGCCAAAGAATTGCTAAAGAAATTTAGGAGACAGGAGACATATTCTATTGTTAACTCCTTGTTTATTATTTCGATTAGGTGTGAAACCCATTTTTTATATGGGTTTTGATTAAAAATAAATGAAGTATCAAAGGTGTAAAGATTAAGCATTTTTTAATGTAAAATTTTGAAATAAATACAAAAGAATGGATTACAGATAATTAATTTAAAAAACTTGTTTGTCCATCAAAAATCATACCAATTTGACATGTTTGTTTGGTTTTGACCTTCTAAAAAGTTCGTCATGGCGCGCCAAGACTCAAAGGCTTGTATGTGCCGCCAAGCTTTATCAAAACGCCGCCTTGACTTATATATATATATATATGTATAAAAATGAATAATAGTAGAAAATACATATAAAAATATGAATTATATATAAAATTGTCGCCTTAAGTCACGCCTTACAAACGACGTGACTCGCCAATGCTCGGAAAAGCTCGAGGCTTGACATTGCCGCCAAGTCACGCCTTACGTTATTTAGAACCTTGGTTTTGACCATGTTGTTTGTTTTAATAGACAGATTATTCAGACCATAATCGTGTATTCATCTTTTGATAGAGCGAGAGACCATAATCGTGTATTCATCTTTTGATAGAGTGAGGGTACGAATCATTGTAATCTTTAGCATTTAATATGCATTAATTGTTTTTTTAAAATAACTAAAATGATTGGTCCAGAATCAATTCTACATGCACATAATAGATAGTAAAACACACACACACACATATATATATATATATATATATA